TAGAAGCTTTAAAAACGGAAAAAGTATTGTATACTCTTTGTATTATATTAACACACAATTATTAATTATTACAGTAAAATTATTTTATTTATTACACAATTTTCATTAACCATCATATCATTTGGTTTTGGTAAGCAAACATTTAGGATTGTGTATTTAGGCGTATAGGCATATGTGGTTTATTAGTTATTCGAGGGCACATCATGTATGATATCTTAAATATCATTCTTTTTAAAATCCCGGGTGCACCATGGTCAGTGGTCACCTAGTTTGGACGCAGAGTCTATTGACTATAAGGATTAATCATCACTGTACCTCACCATGTGCTTATATTTTATTTTATTTCAGCAAAATATGGAAACATATATAACTAATGAAAAGAACTAAACAAAAAAAATTACTGATGAGTTATTCAAGTGTAAAGCGGAAATCGGAAATTTACAAAAAAAAAATAAACAACTATAAATATTATTTTATACATATACAACATATGTACGTTATTTAAATATTTAACAACATTAAACGGATATGTTATTACTGCCGTTTATATTATATATTATAAAATTAATGTAGGTTAATCAACAAAAACAACAAAAAGAATTATAAAACGGCCTAGCGTGCTTTTAAAATTGAATAAAAATAATTTTGAAAGTATAAAAATTTTAAAGAAAAATGTTGACAATTTAAGAAAGATAATCAAGGATAATGAAATAATCATTAAGCCACCAAGAAATATAATTGTAATTTATAAAATGTCGAAGGATGTTTATCACAAAAAGTTTTTGAATAAAAAGTAAGTTTTGTGTTTCTTTTCAACAAAAGTCATCATTGTCTTATATATATATATAAACAATCATAAGAAATAACAATCAAGTTCTCTATCGATAAATATTAAAAAATTTTAAAAATATAAATGATTTTTATAAATATTTAATAGCTCTTTATAAAAATGTATAGATTTACTCTCAAAATAAATTGTAAAAATAGTTAAATAAAACCAGTTCTTCATGATTTATTAATGTATTTTTAATTTTATTATAGATTCTGAACAATGACGTATTGTTTTACATTGATGTTTCCATGTATTGAATCCTTAAAAATTACTTCAATAATTATAAAATATGTATAGTTACATAGACGTGTTTTGTTTACTTCATAAATTATTAATATTTACAATGTAATGTAATTTACCAATAAAATAATGTTATTCTAATTATGAAATGATATTATGTTTTATTAATATTATTAATTATAATTAATACCGATGTTAAATATGATTTATTAAGAAAAATTATTATTATTTCATTTTAGTGGTGATTAATTATAAAATATGATATACTTATAAATTCAATGGTTTTTTTTTCTATAATTTTGAAATGCCTCTAAAATGTTGGCCTCCTCACCCCATCCTAAAATGCGCAACTCTAGTACCTCTGTTCTTTTTGAACCCGAATAAGTCGTTGTTTAATTATTTTTCTACAATATTCTTAATTCAATTGCATATTATCTTTACTAGGATTTTGGTTGCGTAATAAATATTATATGTAAATAAACAAATATTTTATACAGTTATATAAACTACTTATTTATTTATATTTTAATTTACGAATATTAATTATATTATTTTATAAATATTAGTTAAAATAAGTATAGTATAATTTAATATTGAAGTATAGTCACAATTAATTGATAAAACAGTGTTTTTTATTTGTTGGCCAATGATTATAAAACACATTGTAGCCGTTTTAAACTTGCAGCCATGGGCATATTTTAGGGGGGGGGGGGGCAAAGAGGCGATCGCCCCTTGAATCCGTAATTAAGGAATTGATTATATGTGAGATACACATTTCAAATTTTTTTAATGTGGATCATTTTATAACGAAATCAAATTACGCATTGCTGTGAATACTAAATTGGGCTTTTTGTCGAGTCCATACTTAGGGAAAAATCAAATAAAACACTAGCATAACTATCAAAACACAGACAGGTGTTGAAAAAGAACTACACAACAATCGATTCTAAGTGGATCTGGAATTAGATTAAAAAACAAAAAAAACCACAAATATTAAGGATTCACTTGATATAAATATTACCAAAAATTTTACTTGTAAATTTTGAGCTTGAATTAAAGAAAAAGTTTGAGTCGCTCCCCTCCCCCCTAGAAGTTAGTCTAAATATATCCCCGACCGGAAAGCTAAAAAAATTTTTGTCGTGAACCGGAACTTTGTTCCGGTCCATTTCGTACCTGGTTTAAAACCTATTTGTGGGAGGCTTTACCCCCCACTCTTACTCCAACCTTGCATATATTTTAAATATCACTTTTCAGTTACACAAATATTTAAATTCCAAATATTAATATCGATAATATTAATGACAGACCATACAATGAATAAAGTGTATACCAAATGTCCGTACCAGACATTACTATTTATATTTTTCTTGAAATTACGAATAAATGAAACTTATCATAACCACATCATACAGTTGCGTATTTAGAAACTTTTTTTTTGGGGGTGGGTGTCATATCTAATAGTGAAACAATTTGATGATTGTATTAATCATATTTTATATTACTTTATTTTGGGCATAGATGCAGGCCCGTATTTAAAAATTTTGCGCCCCCGGGCATACCATTTATGCCCTTAGCCCCGAAAAATAAATAATAATAATATAACACTTATTATTTCGTCCATAATCGAGATTCTTTAATATTAAAATATGACTTATAAATGAAAATTGTTTAATACTTTTTTACTTAAAAAATTAAACAAATGATAACATAGTAAAACATACAATTTTATTTTTATTTTTCATTAGGTACATCATTATTAAAATTAATTTTATTAAAATAATTTGCAGCCCCCTGGCATGTGCTTACCCGTGCCCCCCCTCCCCTAAATATGGGCCTGCATAGATGCATGATGCATACTGACAACTGACAAGACGTGACAGTCACAGAAGACAATTGGAAGGGATAAAATAATTATAGCCCTCCCAACCTTCTTGAGTTGTATTTTACTTGCTCCCCTTAGAGTTAATCAAGTTTAAAGACTTAGTCTTAAGACCAAGTTCTTGAAGTCAGATACCCCATTGGTACAAAGAAGTATGAGACTGTGATATTTAAGAATAAGTACTCAAATGAAAAAGTTTACATCATAATTAAGATTTAGTTTGATTTTATATAAGTATATTTTTATTATATTTTATTTTACAATACACAAATCACAAAAAAAAAAAAATAAAATAAAAATGTATCTACAACACATATTTCACTTATTTTGATAGATTTAATGATATTAAAACCCATATTGTGAATATTCACAAAATACTAATAGAGACTGAGTTTAAGTTATATACAAATCAAAAATTATGATCAATTAAGATATTTATGAATAAATATTGCTAATTTCCTACTGAAATTTAACTTCCACAAAAGTGATTGAGAAGTACATTAATAGATAAAAATAAACACTGGTAGAACTAACGAATCATAAATATCTTACTCATGAGATCACATGCAAATTTCTTAAACTATTTAATTATTAAACAGAAATAAAAATCAAAATATTACATAAAGTAAATACAGTAAATTTGCATTGAAATGCTAATAATAATAGTAATCTATAATAATAGTTTTTAAACCAAAATAAGTAACACGAACACATTTGTTTAATACAATTACAATGATTTACAAAATGTTAGATTTCCCTTAAAATTATTTAGTCAATGAAAAAATACATTGTTTTTTTGTTTTTGTTTAGATTTATAACAAAAATTATTATACATTGTTATTAAGTATGATTATAAAAAATATTTGTTACATTAACAATGTTGTGAGATAGGACGAACAAATCAGCAGGAACAATTCATAATATAATAATAATAAAAAAAAAAAAATGAATAATAATTAATGATATACTTAGTAATTTAACTATACATCAAAAAATGGCAACTGAAATAATTGTTAATCAAAAAGGTTAAATCATCATTGTATGAGAATAATTTAAGTTAAAAGTATTCCAAAAATTAAAAAATAGTGTTATTTTTGTTTAGTACGAAGTAAAATTGTTAGATATTGAATATTTCTTATTTTTAAAAAGTATTTACAAAATCTTGATTTTTTTTTCATTTGGATAAATGTAATTAAAAGATTACGATTAAAAATATGATTTTAATCATATAACAAATACACTGAATATTTTAAACTATAAGATAATTATAAAAGATTATAATTATTATCTTTTTGATATTTAGCTAATCCTCGCTTGGCTTGCGCTTTTAAACGTTTAATAACAAATTCATCATCACTGTATATATCCTCAAGACATAAACAACATGATGTACCATCAACAAATTTGACCTGAAAAATCCATTAACATTATTAATACATATAAAAATTAAAACAAATAATTATTCACACTTACTGTAAATATAGGTTTATAATTTAATCCCAAAAATACACCTTTATCGCCACATTCCAATTCTATATCTTTGTTAATAGGAGGATAATTTGTTTTATAGTTCTAAAAAGCAAAAATAAATTATAAGTGATACTCTTATAAGTAATATTTTGTATAACTGAAACTTGATTTGTAAACATTTTTAAATTAACAGTGAAATGATAATGCAAAAAAAATCTAATAAGAAAATCTGTATTACAAAACAGCGTCATATTTATGGGAGGGGGCTTGAAACCATCTAAGCTCATTCGACATTTTAGAAAAAAATTTAAATCTACTTTCATCCTATAAAATGTAAATTGTAGAAGCTCATATTTATTATTGTTTTATGAATTATTAGTTTCATATTGTTTATGTTAAGTAGTGTTATTATGTAGGTATTTAATTTTATTTTATTCCATTAATTTTGTAAAAAGAGTTATAATTATGCAATTAAAATTGTTTACTAAAATTCTAAATTTTGTTTTCAATTGATTGAACTCTAAAATTTTGTTTATAGGAAATTCCTCAGCCCTCTCAAAAAAAAAAAATTTAACACATTCCTGTTACAAAATAAGCGAATAAAATAATAAGACTGTAATAGAATGACCCATGCCTCTCTTATATAGGTATTTTATATAATAACCTTATTATAAACTTCATCTGTGTTTTGTTGTAGGCTTTTGCAGTATTTTGAAATTCAAGCAAGTTATATTTATGTAAAATTACCGTTTGTAACAGCTCATAACATGTTTAAAATTAAAATATATTCAGAAACCTAAGATCAAAGACATAGACAATTTTCTCCACTTTAAGTTCAAAAATAGATAACATTTACCTTAATATTAAGATAAAAAATAAAGAATTAATAATATTGATCACATATTTGCTTTTTTGTATATTTGCAAAACAAAGACAACGCATGTGGGCGAAGCATCCATTTAATGCTGATTTCCATCGTTATCAAATTATTTGACTAATAGTTATACTACATAAACTTATGGATAATGATTTAATACAGTAAAAGATTACCTTAATTTCTTTAAGACCAATATTATCTGATATTGAACCATCATTGAATTCTACAATGCATAATGGAATTTTATCAACTTTCAAAATTTGACATTTAGCAATTCTATTATATTGTGAATGCTTTGCCCATACTTTTTGGTTTTTACGAATTTCCATTTGCTATGAACATAAATGTTGTAAATGTTAATAGTAAATTAAAAATTCACATAATTTTTTTTTTCTTTTAGAACTTACTTTTTCCCGTACATAACAATGGTTACTACAATGAATTATAAATGTATGTCTGCTTGGTCGATCAATTTGAAATTCAAATCCAGCAAATATTGCACAAGAAATATGAAACCAAGATTCACAATCTCCTTCAGAGCAACGGAAACATTTACCACACGTTAAATTACACACCACACACTGTAAAGCACATAAAATTAAGTTTTTAAATAAAATATTAGGTAAAATTAATTTTAGGACGTACCTTAGTGTTGGATGAAAAATCTGTTGAAAATTGAAGGTTACTTAATGGACTACTGCCATGAACAAGAAGATGACATTCAATATGTGCCCATAAAATATTTGAAGTTCTTTTTAAAGCACCTCCTTTCAATGGACAGTACACACATGGCTATAAAAAAATAAAATAAATATACAACCGTTAAGGATATATTAAATAATAAATGTACGATTTATAATACAGCTACATAATTAATAATACACTTACAGCAATAAATGACTTTGCTTCACAACGATCACACAACCATGAAGCACCTTTGTCAACATCAATACCATAACACACGTGATGAACAGTTAAATAACAATTGTTACATCTGATGAGATCTGTCTTAGAAAATTTGTCAGAACCTTTAATTGCATTTAAGAATAATGTTTTGCTTGATTTAGGTAAAATGGGTAATATTGGCTTCATAGCAGATAATGCTTTATCTCGCCAATCCAAATTGAAAGTTAACTAATAACAAAAAAAATAAAAAAAATTAAATAAAATAAAATTACAAAATTAATACTTCAAAAATGAAATGAATATGTATAAAATATGTATTATTGAAGCAGGTAATTTATGTTTCAGATTATGATTCATTAATATAATTTTAAGACTTTATTTTTTTTTCATACTCAACCATGTGATTGATAAAATATAAATTGATTTAACAATATTTAAATTTTCATTATTATTACCTTTTTACGATTAAACATCATACACAATGAACAATATGGTTCATCTAAACTCCTAAATATATTATATTGTTGTTCGGTAAAAATTGTGCAATTAGTGCTAACCAACGGACTTATATTATTTGGTACAACTGGAAAAAAAACAAATATTTTAATGATTAGTACACAAGAAACAGTAAATTATAGAAGACTTAAGTTGATATTAGTTTGTATAAAATAATAATAAAAGAAGAATAAATATATTCAACATTTGAATGTACTTCTAACTTTAGAATTTATTTTTACAAGTCGACGATTAATCATAGCTAAAAATATATTAAACAAAGGATAGAATTTAGAATAATTAAATGTTTTTTCTTTTTTTTAAATTAAATGTTTGAATTTTAAGATTTTAATTGGGTAGTAGAATAAAGAGTTATAAGAATGTTAGTGATTTCATGAAGTAGCATATTACACTATTAGTAAAATATTTCTTATATAAAATAGATTATCTTGTAATTTAAATGATGAGATAACAAGTGGTGTTTCCATAGGGTATACTACGTATACTCTCATATATTAAGCACTTCACAAAGAACTATTAAATGTAATTTAATTATTATTATATAATTAGCTTAACAAGTTTTAATTTTATAATACATTATATAATATAATATAATATATATACATTCAGTTTTCCCTCAGACAATTAGTGTATTTCTATGAAATAACTATTGTTGGTATACTATGTATTTATGATGGTATTAATTTATTTAAATAATTTTAATTTATATTTCTGTAAAAAAAAAAAAAAAAATATATATATGCAACTTCAATTTTTTGTTAATAATTAGAATTCTTTCATATCAGTACCAAAATCATAAAAATGTTCATTTTTACATTCGTTGGCGTAGTATACCCTCAACAAATTTGATAAGAATATCACTGGAGATAAAATTGTTATAAACACAAATCCTAAATTAATGAGTTACACGTTGAATACTCTACTATGTGAAAAAATACATACCTTCAATGATGTTATCATCTTTTTTACGTATGGGCTCAAGAGTTGGTTTTTCAACTGTCAAATAATGCCTCCCAGGTTTTATTGGTATTATATTTACAGCTGGAGACAATATTAATGGAGTTGTTTTAACATAAGTATGTTGTTGGTGTTTTGTATTGTACTGATGAGTTAAATTGGTATGAGTTGAGTTACATGAAGTTTCCAACTTAATAGGTGGTATTGGTTTTAATAAATTTGTATCATTATTGGTATATAAATCACCTTTATTAAATAATAAGTAATCATTATTTATATTGTTGAAAACTGTGGAATCTGAATCATTTGTTTTAAAACATTTTTCAATTTGAGAATCTTCTGAATGACGTTTTATATCCATAGAATTGAAGGTTTCTGCATTTATGGGCATAGTTAAAACTTTTTCAATGTCACATTCACTATCTTCATCACTCACATTAGTCATTGGTAATCGGACAACTTTTTTTTTTGCCCGAGATTTTGTTTTTTGTGATTTTTTACTTTTTTTGGATTTGGTACTTCTTTTTGACTCTTTCTTTCTTGACCTTTTCTTTTTGCTTTTTTTCTCTGAGCCATAACTGTAATCACTATCACTTGTTAATTCCATATCATCTATGATTCTATCATTTTTTTTCATTAGCCTGGACCCAACATTATTATAAGATACTTCAGTAACATCCATTTCATCCGCTTTAAGCCAAATATCTTCCATTACTTCTCTTTGTTCATCATTAAGTTCATCATCATATTCTTTATCATCTAGTTCACGTATCATTTCTCTGACATCTGAAGGAGGCACATACATTTCTTTACTTGTATTAGCTTGATCATCAAATAGTTCAGAATCTGGGAGTTTATGAGATACAGGGTGGCGTTTCCTTCCAGAATCTAAATAAAGTTTTGGAATTCCTAGATTGCTATAATAAAACAACAACATTTTAATATGAGTTTGTGTTAAATGTAATATGAATTTACTTTCTATTGCACAGTATGTCCCTTTCACTTGGTAAAGGTGCAGCAAATACACGAGATGGATCTTCAGGATGAGGACCAATATCGTTTCCTTGAAGCCACGATTCATATTTTTCAGGTTGTATTCGTTTGACAAATGTATCCATGCTAATTTTTACTGTATCTTGTCGACAACGGCACTGAGAAGCTCTTTTTCCATATTCAACCCAACGTGGTGATGCAAAATTGGTTGATTCAGCCATGTTGAATCCATGATTAAATCCAGCATGATAACCATAAGGAAATGTTATCATGAATTCACCTCTCTCCTGAGTTATCTGAAAAAAAAAATAATGTAAAAATAATTAATAGAAAACTTTTCTTTTTTTTAAATTAATATTGGAAAACTATGTATGACATAGTACACATGACTTATTAAAATTAGACATTTTAATCAATTTATAGAAAAGCAATTTTGATCAAAAATCTTTACAAAATAACATAATATGTATAATACATTAGACTGAAAAGTGATATTATTTAGGTTATGTTGGAATAATTTAACTTAAATTTTCATTTATATAGTTGATATATCTAATTATATTGGTGTTTTTCACAATTTCAAATAAAGCTATAATATTTAAATTTCTAATAAAATCAATTTAGAACCTAAAATTATTGGTAAAATACAAAAGGAGACATTTGAAGTGAACATAATTTTTATCAGGTTTTGACTAAAATATATGTAATTCCCTTATAAATGAATTATTATTTCAAAATTATTTATAAAAATGTAATGTTTACAATTTTTAATCGCTTACTTTGTTAAATGGTATGGAATACTGTTTTAACATGTGAGGAGATATAACAGTCATCTTGTGTCTAAGAAATGCAGGACATGTTGCCGCATCAGTTGGGAAAAATCCAGTAGCTAATCTTTCTAAACGACGTCCATGTTCCGGAGGGATTGCATACCTAAAATAAAGTATGGTGCACTTAATTTTAGTTAATATTATAAATATGTTGAATTATTAATATCACATAAATAGTTATTACATTTATTATGCTATAATATGAAAATCATGTTACCATGTTTTAGGATAACCTTCATGAATATAGTTTATACTGTATAAATCCATGTCTTCAGTATGCCAAGCAAATGATGTCTTCCACATACCAAAATAAAGATAAGCTGTATTGACACCCTCAATACTGATACCATAATCTTCATTCACATAATCTAATATTGTACCAAGTCTGTTAATATTCCATACCTTAATTTAAAAAAAAAAAATATATGATTTTATATAAAAACATAATTATTATAAAAATTATTTTAATATAATAGATATACAAACATCAACATCTTTATCAGTGATAGATCCTGACACATCAGCACCATATAATGGAGATTTATAAATAATATTTTTCCAATATTTTCTCTCAAGATCACCATAGTCAAAATGATTGGGTGTTTTATAATCTTCAGACTCTGCCATGATTTTATAATCTGCAACTGTCATAGGTTTCTTCTGTATATTAAGTTGTTGATATAATCCTTGTTTACCTTGTACAACCTAAAATCAATACAATTAATGTATCAAGTTTTTATATATTGAAAGCAAGTATTAAAAGTTTGTTACCTGACATATCGGAGCTGGAATTTTTAAACTCATAATATCATCTTGATAATAACTTGTTTTTCGTGGTATCCATTCGGGTGGTGGTATAACCTAAAATTCAGTAAATATTAATGAACAATTATTACTTGGGCATGAATTCTCTATAAATTCCCTAAAAATCACTAAATATGTTATTCAAATGTGCATTAAAAAAAATATATATCTAGTTGTTTTTATTTTAATATCTAAATAATATTTCCAAAATTATAAATTGTAATTTATATTAAAAAAACTTGTAATAGCAAATAGTTATTTTTCTTTTCCGATTTTTTTCTATCCATAATTTAAGTTTTAATCTAAAACTAAAAATGTAATATTTTTTTAAAAATAACTTTTGAATTGATTATAAATGTATATTTTTAAGTAAATCGAGTACTAATTACTATGAGAATTGAATTGAACTAAAAATTATTTTTTGAATTAGAAAATTTGAATGACTTCCCATTATCAACTAAAGTATTTTATATTTTGAAAAGGAACGTTCCACATCTATAGAACTTATTGATGCAAACTTTAAAAAATGGTAAATGACCACTTTTAATGTCTGCAATTAATCCATCCAGAAATTCACTTTGTTCATTATAAATATGACACTGGTTACAAGTCGATTAAGGTTTTTAAATTAGTTTCTTATTTCTTCAGTAACACAGTGAAACCTACGCGCTAAGTAAGTTGCATGCAATAATTAAGTATACAAATTTTGAATTAATTTACCGGTTTTGATAATGTAAAGCGTAAGGTCAATTACAAATAAAAGCACTTCATCATAGTTTACACTTGAGATCAGAGGAAGTCCAATTATAGGTTAAAAAGCTTAACAATTATCAAATAATTTGCTTTTTATAATCCTTCCGAATTTAACAAAAAAAATATTATCAGGTTCATCACTCAAAAGAGTTTAAATTATTACGTTGACAATAAAGTAATTTTCTGCATCAGTGGTTTTATCAATCGAGATCCAAATTTTTTTCCGTCGATATGGTTTTTAATTTTTTCTATTATTTCTAAAGATATGTTTTCAACATAGCCTTTTTGGAAAGTGCCTTCTTTCAGTATGTTTTTTATAGTGTTAAGTGCCATACATTTTTGAAAATATTTATTTTCCAGTTTATAAACAAGTATATGGGTTGACAACATTGCTTTTCATTGATCTTAATTAAAATTGTTTTTTCTTGTAAAAGAAGTAAATACAAGTGATTTAATTTTTGTTTTACTTAAATTATTATAGATTATTACCTAGGACCAGGGCCCCCGCAAGGGAGGGGGCTGCTGGAAATTGAGTACAGGGGCCCGGTTTTTTAAGGGCCCGTGGGCCCGCTGAAAGAATTTGTAATTTTTAAAATTTTAATAGAAATATTTATTTTATATTAAATAATATTATAAAGTAATATTTTATGAAATATGTTAAATATATATATATATATATATAATAGGTATATTTAGTCATTTTGATAGTTAGAGATGCGGGTTAACGTATGTATGTCTCCGAATATTTTGTACTGTTCCAGTGACTGTAGCAAAAGCAGAGAGATCTTTCAGTAACTTTGAAAATTTACGGAAGACGTGGCAAAGATCTACAACGAATCAAGAACGATAAAACTCACTTGCTCTTCTATCTATGGAAAATGCATTTATGGCTTCGATAATAAATTTTGATGATATAATAACTAATTTAACTGAGTTCAAAGCCCGTAAAATAATATTTTAACTTAAAAAAAATATATTAAATATAAATTAAAATATATCTGTTTTCTTTTTAATTTAGATAATATTGTAATAAAAAATAAAGATATTAATATTGTTAAAATGCTTACGAATCTTGATTTTTTTTAATAATTAATGGTAAATTGTATCATTGAAAGTTTTGTAAAGGCCTAGAATTTGATGTAGGGGGCCTGTCTAGGACGTATTTTACTGTTCGGATATATTGGATAACAGAACATTTTTTTTCTCAGCACTAACTTATTTTACAATACAAAACATATTAATTTGACAAAAATACTGTTTTGTCGAATTTTTCAAAAAATCCTTAACCTAATCATAAGCTTTTAGTTTTGGTCTAAGCACTTTAACTATGGATTCATAAAATACTATACGAAAAATAAAATATGTCTATGGACGTACCATACATAAAAAGATCTTTTTCAAGGCTAATCGAAGAATCTACTATACGTTGCACAATACGTTAAATCAAACAGCGTACCGCACCGTGCACCGACAAACAGGGTGGTAGAGAATACAAAAAGGCAAATTATCAGCCACCCATGTATGATAGAATTCCAAAAAGGATACCAAGAGAAAAATAAAGCCGAGATCTTTCCAATGAAACTAATTCAAACTTCATACGAGAAAAAATGACGAAGCTATATTAAAATCCCCGACAAATAAAACATATATTAAATTACCGACCGCAACAATATTTACTAGTCGATACGAAAGCGAATATAAGAGAGCTGGCAAATCGACGAAAATTCATCTCAACCAGTAACATCGGATGAATTGAAGAAGCAAGGATAACCGACTACGATTATTATTGGTAATTATCGACGACGACTATTAGTGGCCGATTATCAACGTCGACTATCGGTGGCGAATATCGAGAATCTTAAAAGATTGACGAGAACGGTTCGAGCGAACCCGACAATACAGTGTTCCCTGACGTCATATATCGTCGTGGGTGCTGTCAGAGCCGTAACTAGGGTGAGGCGAGCGAGGCACTTGTCTTGGCGCAAAAATATTAAATAATTAACTTATTTTAAGAAATGTTACATCTTGTTTTGAAACCTAATTACAATTTTTCAGATTTTTCCGAATCGTATTATACATATTAAAAGCTGTGAGTGTGACAACCCTACAACCTAGGGGGCGTATTGCTTCAGTTCTGCTTCAGGATAAAAAATGGCTCGGTACGGCTCTGGGTGCTGTACTAATTATCAGCGGCTTACGGGGAAAAAACTTCAAATAGCCTACATACCTTTAGTTCAGATAACTGTACAATTTATACTCGGTTATTTACACAGACAAACTGTATAGTCAAACTGATTATGTGTGGGGTCCTTTACACGCGTTCCTTAAGTGGGGTACACATTAGATTTGGGCAAGTTTGAAACATCGATGTTTACCTTAAAAAGTTTTAAGAAAAATTGTATCTATGTTATATGTATATGTATAAATTGTAAAATTTTTAAATAAATACGTTATTTAAACAACGGACTTCGGATTAGAAAAAAATCGATTTTTTTTCAATACATCGTAATAAAAACATCGATGTATTTTGCCCATCTCTAGTACACACCGGAGCATTTAATTGTAATGTAACAGAGTTCGTGTTCGTTTGAATGTTACAAAAGGTAAACGGAAAGTCTCCGGTAAAAGGGTCCCGTTAATTTCAACCTGGTTAATTTATAAAATAAACATTATAAAAATAATATTTATCTTTACCTAATAGGTATGGATTGTGTATACCGTACTTATCTGAACAAACGCGCTTTTAAAACAACAAGTAGAATGGGAACTGATGATGACTTAAGTATTCGTTTTCGTCGGCTTCCTCCTCAATTCCCGCCACCAATTTGGGATTTTTACCAGAGTACCTTACAGGACAGTAGTAAAACCAACAACGTGTGTGAGAGGTAGAATAATAGATTTAGTCATTTAATTGGGTTCCACAGGCATTTATCCAGGAATTTTTTTATAAGACGGGGGTTTCAACAAATTTAAACTTACTATTTGTCAATATCATTTTGAGAATTATTTGTATTGATTTCGGTATTTGTAAATCTAGTCGATATTAGTTTTTTTTGGATTCAGGTAAAAAAAAAGAACTCATTTTTTTAGTCTGTTTATTTGTTTAAGAGTTTGCTTATAATAATAATAATAACAATTTAGAAAATCAATAAAATAATATTACCTATCTTTTATAATTATACTATGCAAATGTATTATTCATATTATTTCATAATTTTATATTATATAATTATATTTTTTATTGTTATATAATCGTAATGTTCAATACTATTTAGTATATGAACATTGAATTTGAAGGGTGATAATCCAAAACGTGTTACTGCTTACTATACGTAAACTGCGACAAAACACCTTTTCTAAAAGCCGATATATAAACTGCACAAAAAAAAAATTATACAATCTGTATAACGACAAAACCGATAAGATACATTATACAAATTGCAACAATTTATTTTGTATATATTTTATGCAAGAAATATTTCCTCCTACTTTGTGGACATCTAAATCAGAAATTATAACAAATAATGTGTGTGAATCTTTCCATTCAAAATGTAATGCGTACATTTATCATCATCATCCATCACTATATAAATTTATAGACGCTTTACAGAATATTCAAGTTAACACATATATAACAATAAGAAGTGCAAAAGAAGGTGTAGTACAACAAAGAAATAAAATAACAACGTAAAAATACAAATTTATAAACGAACAGCGATAAATGAAAGAAGATGGATGAATTTCAAGATATGAATTTTTTAAAAAATTAGGTTTTAAGAATAAACGGCAAAATGTTTAATAAATTTGTATGTTAATTTACATAAAATAATGTATTATTAATTTATTATTTCAATTTAAATATTTTTAAATCTATTAAAAACAGTATGTACAGTATGTTTACAAGATAGCAAACGATTTACAAACGTTATCGATCATGAAGATAAGTCATCGATAAAATGCGTACTTATTATAGCTGTACCATACATTTATAACTAATTAAATTATAAACGTATATGTGTTATTGTATCGGTATGTATATAGTATCTATACATATGTTATCTATATAAAATAAATTGTCGCAGTTCGTTTAATGTATCTCAGTGGTTAACAATTAGTGTGAAGTCCCGGACCCCTAGCTATAACTTAAATTGGTCCAGGGACTCCTTTTTTGTCAATACTTACTTTTCAATTTTGTTTATTTATGAAAATTAAAAAAAAAATATTGTATAATTTATTTTAATTTGACTAATCTTTTTGTAATATTATACACACACATTTTCTAAAAAAAAAATATTTATGTATAC